CCTCGTCCCTAAACCGTGGCAAACACCAAACTGTTCTCCATGTCTAAGATTTTGTAATTTCAAAAAGTGTTCTGTAAGTAGACTCGTGCAGTATAAAACCTTTAGGCTGGCTTCTGTGCCTTAGCCGAATTCTCTGGAGATTGATCCAAATTGCCATGTGGACCTATAGCTCACCCCTGTGTATTGCAGAGCAGTTGTTCAACAGCTTGCCCACTGAAGGACATCTGGGCTGATTCTAGGTCCTGTCTATTACCAATAAAGCTGCTACCTCTCTGGACATCCACGTAGAGGGTGTGTGGACATCAGTTTCTGTTTCCCTGGGACCGATGGCGAGAACACAGCTGCTGGACTGCATGCTAGTTGCAAGTTCAGTTTTTATAAGAAACTCCCAAACTGTCTCTTAGGGTGTATGTACCAGTTTATATTGCCACCAGCAATGTGTGTATGACCCAGTGTCTCTGCATGCATCTTCACCAGCATTTGGTGTCATCACTATTTAAATTTTTTTATTTTAGCTATTCTGATCTGTGCATATATTTCATTGCAGTTTTGATTGCATTTCCTTGATAAGGATGCTGAGCATCTGTTCGTGTGCTTATTGACCATCTGTGTCCCCTCTTTGGTAAAAAGCCTGTTCATGCCTTTTGCCCAAATTCTAACTGGCTCATTTTTGTTGTTTTGGTTTGCTGTTGACGTTTGAGTAATTCTCTCTATATTTTACATGCTAGTCATTTGTGAGATGTCTGGTTTGGAAATATTTTCTCTTAGTCTGCAACTCATCTTTTCATTCTCTTACCAGGATCTTTTGCAGAAAATGGTTTTAAATTTGGACAAAGTCCAATTTATCACATTTTCCGCTTATGGATTGCTTTTGGTATCTCATATAAGAATTCTGTGCTGAGTCTTATTGCCTAGTTCTTGATTCTAAAGATTTTCTCTTATATTTTTCTAGCAATTTCATAATTACATTTAAGTATGTAATTCTGGTTGGTTTTTTTTTTTGCATAAGGTGTGATACTTGGGTTGAAATTCTTATTTTACTTTAATCGTTTTTTGCTTATGGAGATCCAATTGCTGAAAAGATTAACTTTCCTCCATTGAATCATTTTACATCTTTGTCAAAATAAGCCAGGCTTATGTGTGGGCCTATTTCTGGGTCCCCAGTTCTGTCCCAGTGGTCTAACATGTCTATCTCTGTACCAACACTGCACTGTTTGGATTTCTGTAGCCATGTCATGTCTGTCATTAAGTAGCATGATTCCTCCCGCTTTTTTCTTCTTTGTCAAAATTATTTTAGTTATTCTGAGTTCCATGGCCAGGGTGCCCCCGACAGACAGCAAGAGGGCAGCTAACCCAACAGCCGTAGGCAGAAGCCAGACCCAAGGGCATGAGCCCTGTCCCAGAGGGAAGCCTTTGGAGGAAGGGTGGCTCCCAGGAAACAGTGCCCTCCTTCCAGTGGGGCCCTGAACAGGCTGACCAAGAGAGTGGTGTGTGGGGCCAACTGTAATTGCTGAGGAGGGCTGGCTGTAGGACTGGGCCTTGGGGCCTCTGCCCCTGTGCAAGGGCTTCAGGCAGATCTGTATGGGAAGACCCAGACCCATCTGGCTGCAGGGGAGAGAATGGGAGCAGAGAGTGAGTGCTTCTTAGAAAGACCTTCAGGGCCAGAAAGGCAGGGGTCCTGCTTGGGAGTGAGAGGCATCTAAGGGAAGGGCCTGCTGATCTGAGGCCCCTCCTAGCTCCCCCACTTTTCCTTTCCAGGCTGCATGCACTCTGCCCCTCCCCTTGGCCCTCATCCCCAGCCTCCTGTCTTCCTGATTCAAATTTCTAAATTGTGTTTGCTATGATATAAAGAGAAGATGCAGAATTCTACACAGTGTCAAGGCTCACAGCTCCCCTCAAAGATGGGCAGCTGCAGGAGCCAGTGGACAGCCCCCAACCCACCCCCAGGTGCTGGCCTTCCCTCCAGAGGGGCCTCCCTGCATGTGCCATCAGCAGGGCTAGAGGCCAGGCCCTGCTTCCCACAGGCCAGGCCGTGGATCTCAGGTCCCTGATGGAAGGCACAGTGTGCTCTGGGGAGCACCCTGTCCAGACAGCCTGCCTCCCTGCCATGCTCTGGATAAGGGCACAAAGATGTACAAGTCTCAGTCTACTTAAAGATCTAAACTACAAATACAAGGCATTGTTCTTTTTGAAGAGTTGGAGAATGGAGAAAGGAAAAAAGAGATGAATATAAACTTTTAAGAAATTTTTTTAAAAGAAAAAAATCCTAAATTAGCACATTATCCTTCTGTGCTGTGCTTCTTTTAAATGCCAGTACTTTTTAATTTTACTTTTCAAAATGTAAACTATTTCATAAATATTTCACATGATAGGAATGTACAGAGTAATATAATCCCATGTAATCAACACTCCAAGTCAGTAATCATTCACATTTCATGACATTTACATTAGATATGTTTTCAGACATAAACTATTACTCGTGGAGTGCCGCCCCCAGCCTGGAAACAGAACACAATATTGCTGCTTGTTCGCATCAGCATCATTTTGTCCGTATCCTTTTCTTCCCATTATTATTTTTTCACCCTCAACTTTATACTTTCACTATTTCTTCACGTTGGTACAAGTAGAGCTACTTCATTCACTTTACCCCCCTGGGGAACATTCTATTCCATGAAATATGCCACAGATTCTTCACCCAGGCCTCCACTTAGGACGGCTACAGTCTTGCACTTTGCAGACAATGACGCAAGGGCAGTGCTCTGCGGGCCTCCTGTGCCCCTGCCTGGCATTTTCTCTGCAGTGGACAGTGAGGCAAGGAATTGCAGGGTGAGAGGACTGGACATCTCCTGCTGTTTCAGAGGTTGCCAACGTCTCCCTAATTTCTCCGTAGCAATTTAAAGGAACACAGCAGAGAGTGAGCGCTCCCTGTCTCCACACACCCTGGGCCTGGCTTGGTGTCATCCAGTGGGTGTAAAGTGGCGTGTTACACAGTCTGGAGATGTACTCATCAGTGGAGAATCTGGGCATCTTTGCTACATGGTTTTTCTGTCCTCTCTGTGCAGGGGATCTGCTCACAGCTTTGACCCCTTCTTCCTCTGGGGGGGCTTGTCTTCACCCACTGATTAAATTCTTCATGACTCTGCAAAGCGGTCTATGTCATTTATGTGTGTGCAAATATCTTCTCACAGACTCGCTGCCAGAGATTTATTTTCTGTCCATTTGAAGTTTTTACTTTTAATGCAATCAAATTTGTCATTTTTTTTCTCATCTCCAGTTTTTAAAAAGGAAAAAATAATAATAACCTCCCTCCCTCTACTTGTGCAACCCCAGGCGTGTCAGACTGTGCGGGAAGGTGGGGAGGGCACGGCAGGCACGCCTGGCCAGTTGCCGCCGAATCAGTGGTCTGGCCCCGCTGTTTCGGGGTACACAAACCTAAGTAAGAGTTTGCAAAAGGATAAGAAACATGGTCCCAGACATGTTCTAAAAAACCTCGCTTGTTGGAAAAAGTTGTCAGTAGACTGGAGGAAACGCCTTCCCTCTGCTCCGGTGTTATCTTGAGCGCGGGCATCGTTCTGCTCGCCGGGTCCGGGGACTCCCGCTGTGTGCGCGGCTCCTGGGTGCGCTCAGCCTGCGCACCAGAGCCACCGCGTCCGTGCGCTCTGGACGACAAAGCAACACAGACACTGCTAGAGGGGCGGGGAGGGGTGAGCTGAGATCTTCCCATGATTGTCTTACGAAAACGCTTAAAAAAAAAACCCCAAACCTGACAACTCTTTATCTGTCTCTACTTGCGCAGAAAAACTGCAGCGGAAGCGCGCGGACCCCTCCGTGTGCGCGTGCGTGTGTCCTGTGGAGGGGTGGGGGCTCCTGGGCCTGCGGGCGCGCGCAGGGGTGAAGGTGCCGAGGGCCGGCCCTCGAGGCGCTGTCTCCTCCCCAGCAGCCGCCGAGGAAGGACCAAGGGGCTGGGGCCCCACCGCTCCTTGGCCGTGTCTCCCGCACAGGAGCTGAGGCCCTGCTTTGCGAAGCGCGTTCCCTCTCCTCGCCCCCCTGCCACGAGCCGCGCGGACGCGCCGGAAGCGCTGGGGACCAGGCGAGGAGAGGCGGGGAGGGGGGGCGGTCCGCCGGACGCTGGGCGAGGACGATTCCAGGGTCCCGGGCGGGGCGAGGAAGCTTCGAGAAGCACGTCGGAGGCGGGCAGCAGGGAGAGCACCGAGCTCTTGCCTCCCGCGGAAGGAGACCCGGAGGGCCGAGTTATGGAGACCTCGAGGAGGCTGCGGGCTACAAAGGCGGGGAGCGCCGAAGCCGAGAACGCGGGATCGCAGAAAGACGGCTGTAAGGAACGCGTCTCGGCCCGGGGTCCAGCGACCGGCGTCCCCGGGCCCCTCCCGAGCCCCCAGGGGCTGCCGCTCAGCGCCCCCGCCCCGCAGCTGCCCCCGGGCGCTTGGAAAGCCGGGCTAGGTCCCCACTCCTGTCCGGGGTGCGCGGCGGGACCCGCGCCTCCCACCGAGTCCCCAGGCCCCCGCGCGCTCGTCTCCCCGGGATGCGTTTCCTCGTCGGAGGCGCGCGGGAGCCCCCGAGACCATGGCCTCGGACACGCAAGCAGAGGTGCTCGGAGAGCACCGAGGGGCTGCCCCCAGGGCCTGGGGGAGGGCGCCGCCGTTCGTGTTGGCTCAGGTTTTGCACAGTACATAGCGACGTAGTTCGGTTTTCAGAAAAGAGAAGACAGAAAAGGGAAAAGAAAAGAAGCAAAGGACACTGCAGGACAGAGCCCCTCACCCCCTCTCTGCGGCGGCCGCCCCCCTACAGTCCTGGGACAGAAGGGACCCTGACTCGGAAGACAACAGTTACCCGCTGTGGCGCATAGACGCACTTAATTTCAACTGTTAGTTCCTTAAGGGGGATCGTGTAAATCTAAGCATAAGTGACAAAAAAAAACATGGTAGCTGTTTTCCCACCAAACTTACAAACTCCAGGGAAGGCCAGGGAAATAAGGCTGCGAAAAAGGTTAAGACCGGCGTAGGTTTTATTCAAATGCCCAAGTATAATTTTTGTACTTCCTCGAATAAGCCGACTTGGGAAAGGGTGGGTTGAGTCAAGGCAGGGGCGCCCGCCGCCCGCCGGTGGCCAGGGACAGCGGCCACCGCAGCCCGGACGAGGCCGCAGCCGCGGGCCACAGCGCCCCCTCGCAGCCCGCACGACTTCGGGTCGGCGGCCCTGCAGCCCCAGGACGGACTGTGCCGGGAGAGCGCGTCGCTCGGTCCACGCAGCCCGCCGCGCCCTAGGCGAAGACCCTGGGGCCGGGCCCGCGTTCCCAGCCTTCCCAGCAGGAGACCCTGGCTGCTTAAAACGTGTATGTCCACGCCGGATTGTTCTCCGTGCATCGGCTGCTGTTGAGACAAGAAACAGAACTGTCATGTTAACTCGTATGTTTTTAAAATGCACACTTGCGGAGGGGGAGACTCCCCGCAAACCTGAAACTGCCCACCGCCAGGTAAGTGTACAAGTGCCCGTGCGTTCCCAGCAGATCTGCCGTTTCCCCTGCTCATTCTCTTCCATTCCCACTCGGAGGGCAGCTGCAAAGCAACAGAAGCCAAGTGCCCGGCCAGCCCCAGGCGGCTCCACAGACCCTAACGCCCCGCCTGGCCGCAAGCCAGCAGGCTGATCTGCTCTCCCGGGAGGCGGCTGTGGGGCCCGGACGCACCGAGCGCGGCCCGCGCGGCCTGAGCCCCCGGCGCTGATCCGACACGGAGTTCCCGCGAATCCGGGCCATCCCCCCGCGCGCCCAGCCTCGACTCTGGCAGCGTGTTTTTTAGATTGATTTTATTTTAAAGAATACCAAGCCAACTTTAAGAAAAGTAATGGTAATTTTTAAGACTCAGAGAGCTTATAGCGAAACGGAGTTTATATTTTTCCAATAACAACGCAGAGCGTAAGTTTTAATGTCTGCGTAGGCATTTTAATTTGCTACAGTCACTACCAATAAAAACGGCATGTAGTGCGATTCGACTGTTTAATAGTGCAAGGTAGACGGTTTTTATTAGTAGCAGGCAGCAATACGGAAAATTTAGATTTCAGTGGAGTGTAATTGCTGAGAGGAAAATAGGCCCAGGAAAGAGTCTGTCTTCACAGCAGCGCTGAGCTAAAGAGAGGGAAGAGGAGACAGTCTTTCTGGAGATGCACCCTGGGCGACGCGAGACCCTCCAAAGCCACGTGCACTTGTCTGGTTATATACTTAATTGATGTCAAAATCGAGGGTACCCGGAGCATACGCTCCTGCTCCAAACTGGGGATGTTTTTGTAATAATTCGCTGTTTTCTTTTCCGCCCCTGGCAGAGATCAGGCCCAGGGGGGTCGAGGGAGAGGGAGGGAGGGTGTAGGAGCGAGCAGCCCCAAATGCTAATGAAACCACAGGAGGAGCTGGTCTTTAGAAATGGAAATACTCGAGGCCAGTCATCCCTGGAGATAAACAGTAGACCTGATTTTTTCACTGAAACCATCTAGCTGGAAGCGAATCCAAGAGCCTGCAATCTGATCCGTTGTTTGTCACCCAGCGCGTGCACCTCTCCTTTACGGCCTCTTCCTGGCCTAATTCCCTCCTAGGAAGACCAGAAATGCCACGGACCCTGTCTACGGCATGCTCCACGGGGCTGCTCGGGCTTCTCCTCTCTTTTCTTCCGGTTTTAACTCTGCAATAATTGATTTAAAATTTCTGCCATGAGCTGAACTCGGACCTTGGGGTGGAAGCATTGTTGACCCCCCCCCCCCCGGTGCTGGGTTTTCTCAGGGGCCTAGAGTGCGTGGGAAGTGGCGTGCGTGGACGAATGTGTATGGGGGTGCTGCTGAGGGTGCGAGGCTGTGGTTCAGAATCGGGGGAGCACCGGGGACAGGGGTGAGTGGGCCTAGTGGGGAGGCTGGTTAATGTCTCCGGGCCGAAACTACTAAGATTGTTCTTGAGCCCAATACCGCAGTTTGTTAACTGGTCCCCTGGATCCGGGATCAAGGGCAGCCCTACCGTGCCTTGAAGGTTCCGCGGGCAGCCAGGCCGGAGCAGGGCCTGGTGGTCCCGGCGGCGCTGCAACCTTGCCCCGCGCCCGCGCGCCCGCAACTGGACCGACCCCGGAGGCGGTTCCTGGAGTTGCAGAACCAACAGGACTGGGGGCGGCGAGGTGTGGCGGAAGGCGGGCTGCAGACTGGAGCCCCCACCCGACAGGTCCCCCGCCAAAACGGCCCCAGGGGCAGAGGCACCTGTTAGGTAGAGGTCCCAGCCCGGCGCGCATACACCGACCCCCTGTGGTCGCGCTTAGCGCCCCCCAGCGGTGACGCCCCTCGGGTAGGGCCGCCAGAAGCCCTGCTTCCGCCTTCCCCTGGTGGGGAAGGCGTGGGGGATGGGGAGTGGAGAGGGTTGGGGCCTGGGGTCCCAGGGGCGTGTTGCAAAGCTCTCGCCTCTGGGACCCCCGTGGCGCCTCCCGAGCCGCGAGTTACCTGAACTGTGCTGCCGAACTCGTTCGTGACAGAAGCCCGTCGCGCTCTCGTCCTTTCCTGAGTGCCAGGGAGTCTTTACGTCGTGCCAGAGGATGTCTGTCCCATGCCAGTCGCTCCCCCGAGTGTTTTACAGCACAAATCCGAAAGATGAGTATTTAAAGCAAAATAAAGTAAAACCTTTTGGGGGTAGTATCTTCCCTGGTTAAGCACTGGCGGCGTGTGTTCAATGTCACAACAGCGGAAATCCTGACACCGGGTCTCCGCTATGGACTTTTGGGCAGAAAGCTCACCTCAGGGCCCTGCTGGCAGTTTGCATAGAAGGCGCGTGAATCCTGTCCCGCGGGGACACGCTGAGGCGGCCCGAGGCAGGCGACCAGACGCGAGACCATGCGGGGAGACGCGCACGGTGAGGCAGGTTAGACCCAACAAGGTGGAAAAGAGAGCCGCGCACGCCGTCCCCGGGAAGACCCGGGCCGCGGGCGCCACCAACTCGCCCCCCATTACCCCGCGGCTTCCGGCCGGGACCCTGGGGTCCGGCGTGGTCACCTGGGCCGGCCTCTCGGTGGTGGGTAGTGGGCACGGACCATTCGCCCCCCAAGTCAGTCCTGCTCGATCTAGGGCGGCTTCTGCCTGGTCCTTGCGGACAGAGCTGGGGTGCAGGGTGGTGGCCGCTTTGGGGTCGGGGGGGTGAGGAAGGTGGCTGGTGGGGAGCTAGCTGGAGTGGGTGTTAGGAGTACGTGCAAGCGGGAGGGGTCCTCTCCTGGTCGCTCACGGAGGCCGGGCTGCTCGGCCGCGGGCCGCGGGCCGGGGCGACTGCGCCACAAAAGCCTGCGCGTCCCTAGCTGCTGCTCCTCCTCCCGCCCGCCTCCGGCTCCGCGCGCCCCTCCCCGCGCGGCTTCCGCCCCTCCCCCGGTCTCGGCTTGGAGGCTGCAGCGGGCGGAGCGGGCGGAGCAAGGTAGGGGGCGGGCGACCGAATATGCAGATGAGCGCTTGACGGACAGCTCCGCGTTCCAATGTCCCTCGGAAACTCGAGCACTCCTTCCTCAACTCCTCACTCCTGACTCCAGACTCCCCCAAACCCCGACCGCCGGCCTGGCGCGCGGCTGCGCCCACCGGCTCCGAGCCGCCGCCGCCGCCGCTGCTGCCCCACTCCCGCGACCCGCGGGCCGCCCGGGCTAGTGTGCGGGCCAAGGCTGGTGGCCCAGAGCCTGCCGCCGCGCCCCGGCCGGGCGTGGATGGAGGGCACCGCGCACCCTGCCCGGTGCTCGGCGTGACGCGGGCCCCGCGCCGCGCGCCCACCATGTCCTACCCGCAGGGCTACCTGTACCAGGCCCCCGGCTCGCTGGCGCTCTACTCGTGCCCGGCATACGGCGCGTCGGCGCTGGCGGCGCCGCGCAGCGAGGAGCTGGCGCGCTCGGCGTCGGGCTCGGCGTTCAGCCCCTACCCGGGCTCGGCGGCCTTCACGGCGCAGGCGGCCACCGGCTTCGGCAGCCCGCTGCAGTACTCGGCTGACGCCGCCGCCGCCGCAGGCTTTCCGTCCTACATGGTAACCGCGTGCAGGCGGGCGGACGGGGATGCTGCACACCCGGGCGCGGGGACCTCGATCGGGGCGCGGGCGGAGCTGGGAAAGGGCCCTGGGCGGTGGCTACAGAGTCGTCAGCTCGGTCCGTCTCGCCGCCGGCGGGACCAGAGGCCGGCGTTCGCAGCACCGCGGCCGGCGGACGAAATCCATGAACCCCGGCCGGGACCGGTGCTCCGTGCCGCCCCGCCACGGCTCCTGGGATAGTTTTCCCAGGACGCCTGGCAAGTGCGACTCTGCCGGGGTCGGATCCGCATTTGCCCTTCCTGCGCGCGCAGAGGATGGGCCAGCGGGCCGGAGCGGGCTGGGGAGTCTCTGGTGGCGGGCGCGGGGCTCGGCGCCTCTGGGGCCTCTGGGGTGACTGCGCGCGCTTAGCATTTTACTTGCGGGACTTGGAGTCACCGGGTTGGGGGAGCGAGCGTGGCACCCGGCAGCGGCTCCGGCCCAGCGCCCCTGGAGTTCGGCCTAAAATCTGTTCGGCGGCGGGCGTGTGCTCCCCAAGTGCACCTCGGCTCCCTGCGCCAGCTCATGCTCCCCCGACCCGGGGTCAGTCCGCGCGCCGCGATGCCGACGACACTCATTCGGGAAATTGAGGCCGTTACCGGGGTTGTAGCAATTGCCCGCCCTCGATGGAATTCCAGGCCAGCGACTGAGTAGCTGGGGCCTAGACGAAGGCTGAAAACGCTTGAATTTAAACCTTAAAGGCTGAATTAAAATGCTAATTACCGCGTATTTGAAGAATTCGAAACGGTGACTGGCTTCTGAGTTGCAAATTGGATTTGCGGAGCTTTAGAGCGGTGACGAGCGGAGCGGGGGCTGTTGGGTGGCTTTTTTACCATAGGGCGGGGAAGGGGGAGACGGGGAGGCAACGGCACTTGGGAGTATCTGGAGAAATTTAGATATCAAGAAAGGACCCGTGGGGCCTGCGAGTGCACACGTGCTTGTGTGCGTGTGCGCCCGCAGCCCAGGGATGTTTGGGGAAGGAATGCCGCTTTAGGAGAGTGAAGTCGTTCAAAAATTCGAGAATAGGACCGAGGCGCTTCTCGTGATCAACCTGAAAGTACTCGCTCCGTTTTTCCTACCCTTTTGCTGCGGCAAGCACGGCTCCAGGGCGGGCGACTCGCCGTGGGAAAGGCTGCCGCGGCCTGGTGGAGGGGTCGCCCTTGGGCTGGCGTGGGCCAGGGCCTCGCACACCACTCACAGGGCTCTTGTCGGTTCCAGGGCGCGCCCTACGACGCCCACACGACCGGGATGACGGGCGCCATCAGCTACCACCCCTACGGCGGCGCGGCCTACCCGTACCAGCTCAACGACCCGGCGTACCGCAAGAACGCCACGCGGGACGCCACGGCCACGCTCAAGGCCTGGCTGCAGGAACACCGCAAAAACCCGTACCCCACCAAGGGCGAGAAGATCATGCTGGCCATCATCACCAAGATGACCCTCACGCAGGTCTCCACCTGGTTCGCCAACGCGCGCCGGCGCCTCAAGAAGGAGAACAAGATGACGTGGGCCCCGCGGAACAAAAGCGAGGACGAAGACGAGGACGACGCGGCGAGGAGCAAGGGGGGGAGCCCGGACCGGGCGCGGGAGGGTGCGGAGACGCCAGCGGAGGACCCAGGTGAGTGGGGCCGCGGCGCGCGCGAGGCCGTGGGGATCCCTGCTCCCCGGCGGGGCGCAGAGCCGGAAGATTCCCGGGAGGCCCCGCCGCCCCAGGGTCGGGTCCAGGTGCGGGGCCGGGGGGCGGAAAGGACTCCGGGCCCGGGCTCTCCGCGCACCACGGACCGTGTCTGCGCCCCCGCAGGGAGCAGCCTGCACGTCGACTCGCTCACGGACCACTCGTGCTCCGCCGAGTCCGACGGGGAGAAGCTGCCCTGCCGGGCCGGGGACGCCCTGTGCGAGTCGGGCTCGGAGGGCAGGGACAGCAAGTACGACGACCTGGACGACGACGAGGACGACCAGGAGGAGCGCCAGCGGGACCCGGCGCCTCCCGAGCCGGTGATCTCGTCGCCGCTCACCGGCTTGGAGGCGCCGCCGCTGAGCCCCCCGCCCGAGGCCGCGCCCCGCGGGAGCGGCGGCGGCAAGGGGCCCCTGGGCAGCCGGACGTCGCCGGGCAGGCCGCAGCCGGCCAGCAAGCCCAAGCTGTGGTCCCTGGCGGAGATCGCCACGTCGGACCGCAAGCAGCCGAGCCTGGGCCCGGGCTGCGCGCCGCCGGGGCTGCCCGCGGCCGCCGCGCCTGCCTCGTCCGGGGCTCCACCGGGCGGCTCGCCCTACCCCGCTTCGCCGCTGCTCGGCCGCCACCTCTACTACACGTCGCCCTTCTACGGCAGCTACACAAACTACGGGAGCTTGGACGCGGCGCTGCAGGGCCAGGGCCTCCTGCGGTACAGCTCGGCCGCCGCGGCCCCCACAGATGCGCGGCACGCAAGCAGGGCGGCAGGCGACGCTGGCAAGGCGGGCGCGCTCCCGCTCGAGCCTCGCTACCGGCCCCCGGGCGGCGGCTACGAGCCCAAGAAAGGTAGGCGGCCTGCGGCCCGCGGGGCCTCTGGGAGGAGAGCAGGGGCCCTGTGAGTCAGCGTCCGCGGGGGAGCGGGGCGCGCCAGGGGAGGACCGCGGCGGTGGCAGGGGACCGCTGCCCCTTTGAGAATGGGGCAGATAGAAGGCGCCCCTCTTAACCGAAAGTTAGGGGTAGTGGAGCCTGGGCGCCGGGTGTGGGGGAGGGCAGGCAACCCTTGACCTGTAATAAGTCTTACCCCCTTGTTATTTAGTTTTTATTCTGCTTAGGATTCTTAGTACTATATCGTCGTTATTATGAACGTTTAGTGTTGGTAGACAAATTGCCACAAAATGCAAGTCCCAGCTGGCTCCCTGCTGGTGGGGTGAGAGCTTCGTGCTGCCGCGGGGCTCAGGGAGGCCCAGCCGAGGCCCCTCTTCTGACTCTGGCTAGAAGGGAGCAGAGCAGTCCAGCAGCTCCCACAGGCGTTAGATCTTAAGGAGGAAACAAGAGGCTTCTCCTTCCTCTCCTCTCTGTATTGCCTCTGCTGCTCATAATCAGGCTTGGGTTGGTAAGACCTGTAAGAGGAGCTCAAGGGGGAAAGAAAATGGCGAGGAGATGACCAAGACCTCCCTGACAGCGGCGGCGTGAGCCCGCCGCCTGCTCCCTGCCCTGTGAGCCGCGGCAGGGAGTGATGTGGGGTGTGGGGGCCGGTGGGTGTGCAGCTGTCTGGGAGACAGATGGCTGTGGGGTTGGGTGCTGACTGCCTACCCCCTCCCTTGACAGATGCCAGTGAGGGCTGCTCCGCGGTTGGTGGGGGCGTCCAGCCCTACCTATAGAAGGGCCTTGCGCAGCAATGCAAGTAAGTGGACACCGTGGAGTGGTCTCCCACCCCGGGAACCTCCCTGCACCAGTCGCGCTGCTTAATGAGTATTTCTTGCTTCTTGTCACGAAGTCTGAGGACAGAGCACGGCAATCAGATCTGGTCTTTTTTTCTTTGAGTAGGAAATACTTGTTAAAGAGAGAGTCTGCCATTCTCTACTTAAGTTCTGCTTTGAAGAATCACTCCTTTAACTGGAATGAATATATAAATACATATATATATGTGTATATACATATACACACATGATATATAATATATATGTGCTATAGATATAATTGTGTGTGTGTGTGTGTGTGTGTGTGTCTCACCACTGCAGTCTGGGTATTTGTATGCACTTGGAACCGTTTTTACTATGCTAGACACGTAACAGACACTTGCTGTGATGAACTAGAGCTAGTGAAACCTGTGGGCTCCAAACCCTGTTACAGGTGGTGTTTGCAGACACAGCAGCACTGGTTTCCTGTCAGGCCTGTGCCCTTGTGTCCAGACGGACCAGATAGGGCCCTGAAGTGTGCTGGCTCACAGCAGTATCTCAGAAAACACCACTTTACAACTAGGCAAAATTACTAATATTGGATCCTGAAGATGGGAAAGAGGTTGAACCATTACAGTTGGACTCACTTTTGTAATGGGACGTCAGTGTGGGACTGAAAGATTGGGGATGATATGGTTTTTTCCTTGGTCCACAGGTAGGTGTCACAATTGCTTTGGAAAAAAAAAAAGTCAGCAGGCCATTCTCTTCCCAAGTGCATAAATATACAGACATAGAAAACAGATCTGTAAATCCGGACTGCATCTTGTACCACTGTAAAAGAGAAGGATCCACAGACTCTAACGGAAAAGACTTGTTGGACATAGGTGAATCTGTTGGCATAGTATAGCTTCCCCAATGTATGTGTGACTTTTGAAAACAATCTTTTTTCTCAGGATATCTTGAATTGATCACTTCATTGCCACGGTATATATTCTATAGGTGTGATAGGATTTACTGTAAATTTTATTTGTAAAAGATGTACACAGTAGAAATAAAACGTGATTGAAGAACTTGAGTACTTAAGAAGTGGAAACAAATTTGATATTTATTTTTATAATGATATAAAGCTTCTAGTAATTTATGCAAGTTGTATTGCAATGGAATCTAAACTTTTTGTAAATAAATTCTGCCTGGTTTTTATTTGACTATTGCTGGTTATACAATCTTTGTCGGTTGTTTAACAAGAATTCTTTACTAATTTATATCTTAAACTGTAAATAAAAACAGACTAGTCTACAACAATTTGGTGTCTGGGCTCCTTTTCCCAGAAGAGTGATTTGGCTAGGGAGCCCTCCCGATGGCAGCCCTTCCCCCGAGCCGATCTGACCTCAGGCTTTTTAATGAAAATGTGTAAAATAATCTTTCTCCTGCTCACACACCCAAGAAAGAAGGCAGATGGAAGAGAAATACACAGAGATACGTATGGTTTTAGATTATTTATATACACATGTATTGCAAGAAAATTAGGATTTTGTGCCCTGAATATTCAAATTATTTGTTAGCATAAATTTACAAAATTTGGTGAAATAAAATGATCTGATACCCTGTCTATTAGGAGTCATTCTATGTTTAGGTTGGCTTTTGAACCTCTTTGGAAAAGCTACCTGGCAAACTGATGACATAGCTGATGGAGGGGCACACCACCCCGCTGTGAATGCCTGATAGAGGGGCAGGACGCCCCCCTGTGAATGCCTGATGGAGATAGCTGTTTATTTTAAAGCCTGAATCACCCAAATTGGCATAGATTATTCAGATTTACTGAGTGACTTCTTAACTCCTTTTCATACAATTGACATTAAACACCAGGCGAAAATCTGGGAGGGGAGATTTATTTCCCTTTCAGTGGCTCTTTCCCTTACCCTGGGGGAAAAGAAAAGTTTGAACAACCTTTGACTATTGCCTTGTTATTGTGTTACTCACTATCTAATTATAGGACAAGTCTAGAATTTGTAGTCAAGTAACATACTCCCTTTGATTAGGATCATAAAAGCTGCAAACCTGTCACTTCAGTTTTCAGCAAAACAATACAGATATCCACATAATAGAATTTCAGAAAAGAAATGAACAATCATTTATTTCCTCTCCAAAGATAAATTGAGTGAATATAACTTACCGTTATAAAACAAGAATAATAGCTTCTTAGATTGCCCTTTAATCAATCATACACTTATTTTTCAAGAGGTTCATCTATTTTATTCCATGATTAATAACGCTGCAGCAAAAGCACATTATTGGATCCCAGTGGGGGGCGTCCCAGATGCTTTCAGCTGCTGTGGAATGGTCAGTTGGGGTTCATTATGGAATGATATTGAACAATTTATAAAATCTTGTCTAAACATCTGCCAGCTCCGATAGGCTGATGTGTCTAAGGATGGGAAATTGCTGGACCAGTTGATATTGACAAACGGATCTCTCTCCAGTGGCTTTTTGTGTCTGAGAAATTAGTGGCCTCTTGCTGGGGTCTTGTTAGAAAGGGTATTTGAAAATAATCTTAGATACTTGAAGCAAAACCAGTGGGCTGTTAACTGGACACAGAGCCACGCCTGTGGGCAGGGCCAGCTGTGGTCTGACTGCAAAGAGGAGCAGACCCAGGTTTCTGCTTTTCCACCTATGCTTAGGTGTTGTGTTGGTTTGACTACATAGGCATTTGGAGGTCAGGCATAAACTGGGGCTGGGGCAGAGAACTCTTTCTCCTTCCTGCTTCCCCTACTAAGTGCCATGGAAACATTTGGAGCTGAGCCATGCCTTGGCCACAGGGAAGCCTGGCCACTCAGGCAGCACTTCAGGAAGAAAACAAGCCCCAGGCCTGCAGAAGTGCAAGTGCCTTGCATAAAAAAGACAAACTCCTTTGCTTGCTTTTGACTCAGATGTGGAGCTGTCATAGGATGTCCTGGAAGACAATGATTTTTCCCTCCAGATGGCATTTTAGATTGCAATGTGAAGGTGTTAAGTGTTTTGTTTTTACTAATATTAGCCAGACTTCCTAATTCGTCAAGAAACACAATACACAGGGCAGCGATAGCTCTATTACATGTAATAATTTGAGCATTTTAAAGAGTTCAGTGAAAAGCATGAAAGTTAGTATTTAATAAAAACTGCAAGACCATACTCCCTAATGAAGATACAACATTTAAGGCACTCCATCTCTTTAAAAAGTGCGGAGAGTGTGGGAGTAGAAAACCCAGGCAAAAACTGATCTCTGTGCATATGTTCAGAAACTGAAGCTTGAATAAAAGCTGCCTCCCTTTGGAATAGAAGATTGTTTTACCTGGACATGTGATACCTACACACACACCCCAGATCCCCTTCTCCGGGACAACGTGCACCTTTCAGTCCGTGCAAACTCAGCACAGCTCTGGAGAACAGCCCAGGCCAACGAATCTTCTTTGATGTTTATACGCCCAAAAAATTATCCAAGATTTCCATAACTTACCCACCTGACCTGAATTTCTTTTTGGAGAACTTGATTTTTAAATGTACGCTAAGAACATAAAACCTGCAGGTGTTCAGGGGGATCTTTCAAGAAACGCGGAGTGATTTATGATCTCTTCTCCGTGAAGATCATTAGGAAGACGAAGGAGGGGAAGCGGGGGGGGAGAGCGAGGGCACCGAGCCTTCCTTGGGGAAGGAAGTTAATGGGTCTGATTCTTATTTTTGCTTTAAACTCTAGTTAATCCCGAGGTCGCCGGCCCAGATAGGCGTTCGCAGCGGCGGCGCAGGCGGGGAGAAGGGGCGGCACGGCGTGGGGGCGCCGCAGGGCTGGGCACTCGGCCGCTCCGCCGGGCGCGCGTGGCCAGGCGGCCGACCCGCGGGCCTCAGCGGCCCAGGGCTCCCGGGAGCAGATTTCTCAGAAGTCGCGCTTGAACCTCAGGTGGGCCGCGGGTGCTGCGCTGCCGAGAGCACCGGGAGCGCTTGCCCGGCGGCCGCTGCCTCCCGCGCCGGGCAAATGTCAACATTTGTTCCCAATAAAAGAGTTATTGTTTCTGCAAAGCTGCCCAGCAACTGCCTTTGAAACTTGAAAAGAACTTCATCCACCTTTCTGACGCCAGGCAGGAGGGGCGGGCGGAGGCCGAGGCCGCGGCCGGCGGGGGCTCAGCGCGGCCGTGGGGGCACCGCCTGCACCGCCGCCACGCTCGCGTGGGCCTGTGCGCGCCTCCCGCGCACCGCCGCCGCCGAGCCCGCGCGCGGCTCAGGGGCCTTTAAAGTTGCATTGGATATTTATTAGAGGCGGGGAGGGAAGCGGACCTTTTGTTTCTTAACATTATGAATAAATGTGTCCTGAACTTCTGCTGGAGTCCAGATGAACAAATCTGGACTGAAAAAAATCTGAAAAAAATCATCCCAAACCAATTTATCTGCTCAGTCAGAGGCAAATCTTTCCAAATCCAGACAATGCACTGAAGTTTCCTCCAAATAACAGTGCACGTGATTATCTACCATGTAATTTTTTTTTAATTACACAGTGCATGGAAAATCCCAAGGAAAACATTCTAATTCCAAATTAGGGATCTAAATAGATCTTTCAACTATTCATTTTTACTCAACTTTTACAAAAATAACATTTAAGTATTTTAAAAATGTTTCAACCCAAGAAACAATCTTGGAAACAATATACAACCCTCTGTGATGTATGGATATTATGATTAACATTATTTGAATTTCTGCAGATCGCAAAGGGGACATGTCCCTTTGCTGTATATTCAAGCCCTTGTGTAAGTAACAAATCCCTACAGATATTTTAAAAGCTTATTATAAGGATAAGTAATCTATGACCTTAAATTTTCCAGTACCTGGAAATTATTCTTTTGGCCATAATGAAAGCACAGGCCAACCCTGCCCTTGTGAAACTGCTGTTCCACGATTTGCACTGAGACCTCAGCCATTGGTAGGCCAGGGGGAAAATATTTTTTATCCCAGTTTTGGGGTGTGAACACCCACATTTGCGTGCATCACTCTAGCCTTTCACCTGCATCTCCTGCAAGTAGGATGCAATGCCGTCCCCGGGGGGCACTTCCACGCTCCACCCAGAGAATAGGCTTCTGTTCTTCCACTGAGGGCAGAGCGTTCTCCCTGTTTCTAAGAAAGATGTTATGAAGGCGGACTGTACTGTAATACAATAAAAGATGCCTTATGAAACTCTGCTGCCTGTTCTTTTGCAATTCCAGGTGAAAGGAAGAGGAAGAATATTTTGTTGGTGGAAATCTGGCCCCAAGGTAATAAAAAAAAAGTCTTTTAAAAAGGTGTCCCAATGTTACTTTGTTCTATATGAAACTGAGAACAAATTAAATATAATATTCTTAAAGAAGAAAATGGTGAGGTTTGGGACACCTGCAAAAGGGAACAGTAGGCCTTCACAGGAAATGCCCTGAGGGAAGAAAGGAAACACAACACTACTCAGCACTCGTTTTTTCTTGGTGAGATAAATTGACAATTTATTGTGCGTAACTCCTGATCAATTATTAATCGTTAGTGTCAACAACAGGGTTATAATTACCTTTGGTTATTTTAAGAGATATTTATTTTTTCATCTCTTTGATAGTGTAATTAGTTAATGCTCTTGAGTAAAGACTCAGAGAGAAGCTGATCAGACCAGGCCCTTACCCACACTTTTTTGGTGACCTTTAGGGGAAACACTCCCATTCTCCCTCTGATCCCAGGAATTCCCTCCCTGCCTCCTCTGTCAGCGGGCACCTTCCCCCACTGCCGTAAATAATGATTCCAGAGGAAAAGGGGAAGATGACAAGCAAATAGAGCGCAGCTGGAATTAATAAGGCTGATCAAAGTTGGTGAGGCTGGCCGCTCACAGCAGCCGCAGGTCAGGCCCGAAGAGGTGCCGGCGGTTTCTTGCCTTTTTCCCTTTAGGAGAGACGGGGCAAAACGAACACTTTAACCCCCAACGTCTTGCACCGGGGGCAGGTGGGCTGGGAGGACCCCTGTTTTTAGGCCGCTGAGAGGCGCAGAGCTCGCCGGCCTGGCCTAGGTATTGGAAGCGCGCTGCGCCTTCGCCCAGCGCGGGTGCGGATCGCACATGCACCCGGCTCCCACGTGCACCCTGCTCCCGCCCCAGGCGGGGGACCCTGGGCCCTGGGAGGTTGAGAGGGGAGCTCGCGGATCAGGTGTTAACAGACAGGCGGCCCGGT